TGTGTGGTTGTTTTTGCAAAAACCATTTTGGTTGATGTTTTTCCGGTTAAAGTTGCATTAAATTTTTTTGTACTTGTTGCCTCTGGTGTTGTTAAAATCGATGTTGTCCTGGGCGTTGTTGAAGTCGTCGTAGTCGTTGGTGTTTTAGAACTCTGAATTGTTGTTTTTGTGGAAACTGTTCCTACTCTTAAGGAGGTTGCTGTTGGCCTTGGTGAAGAGGTTGTTGATTTTCGTGAGCTTAGATCCTCATCTGGTGCTATGTCCAGCTCCTTAACGCATTCCTCGAAATAATTAGGGCAACAGTTGTCGTCCCGAAGACAATAATCATGACATCCACAACCCATGATTATACCCTCATCGGAAAATAGTGGGCTCCCGGGACTTTTGGATCCACAACGACCAGTGCAGCTCATCATGTCATAGACAAATGGCTCTTCGCTGCTGGTAATTTGTGATGGGGGTGATTCGGTGGTGGTGGTATACCCACCCACTTCACACTCCCTACCCGTCATCAACTTCACATCATCGATGGCAATGTCTCCGAATTGGTACCTCGCGTCCTTGGCCATGAAGACCACCTGAAAATCCTCCTGCATTTTATCGATGGTGATTGTTTGCTCCAGCCAGTGGGTTCCCTGTGAGCCGGTCACCTCAAATTTTTTAGTACTAAAAGAAACAATTTGTTAAATGGACTACAAATTTCAAGAAATTTACTTGGTTCCGAACCTGTTCCACATGTTCTCAATTCGCATCGAGACGGGTTTTACGGATACCACCAGCCGATCCACTCCAGCTCCGAACATGAAGTAGTGGAACCGGAAACAGCAGGCGTTCTTTAGACAGAGGGACTTTGGATAGATAGGCGATACCAAATGGTAGTAGCCATTAGACTGGTACCGGGATTCCATGAGCATATAGTGTCCTCCTGAACTGTTTCCGATAGTGTGATCGTATCGGGGTCCCGTTCTTACGTCATGAAAGTCCGCCACCACGCTGATCCTCTTCCACGATAACCAGACACTCTCCTCCGCCTCCCAGCCACACAGATCTTCGGTTTCGAAGTCACAGGAGTGATCTTTCGTATGGTTGCTCCTTCGACAAAATCCCAGCTGAGTACTCCACTTTTCTCCATCGCAGTAGGCAGTGCGACTTCCAACCAACACAAAACCATCTAAGCACATGACTTCCGCCTTCAAGGGATCATCTAGAACTCGACCGTTTTCAGGATCCTTGAGTTTTTCGCAGCCGCTCCCTAAAAAGACAAAGAAATAATGAGAATTACAGTATATACATTATTTTACCATTTTAAAATTGTATACAACTTTTTTATTTTGCTAAGATTTTTATACTTATTTTAGAACAATGCAAATTTGCAGATACTCACTGGCACAGACTGGTTTTTCACCCCGAAGACGACCTTCTGGATAGCAGGAGTGAAAAGTATTTCCTTGCAGAATATAGCCGAGATTACACCGAAAAATCGCAAAATTCTTAACTGTATTAAAAATACGGCCATTTTCCAAATCTAAAGATCCTTCACAGTTTCCATTTGTGTTCTCTATACTGTATATAAGTAGAAAAGCCAGAGCCCAGAAAAATTGCATAGTTGCGAATGTTTCTGAAGATTGTGTTTATATTGAAGAGGTGTTGTAAACACAGCTGCCATTTGATGCTTGACTGTATTTTGAGTTGAGCTGGTAAGGGTGAGTTTTCTAGTCAGCTGTTTTTGGCAGCTGCAGGAAAATCTGTGTTACCGTTTGTTTTGATTTTTCAGATTTTTTTTGAAACTAGAATCCTTTTTTGCAATCGATAATTTAGTATGTACCTATGTAAGCAGTTTTAGTGAGATTCAAAACCATTTGTTGTGGTTTTGAAAAATAGACCCCTTAAAAAATATTTTTTAAAATATATGAACTTTTATTTTTCCAATTAGAAGATCCAAAAAAAAAAAACAGTTTGTGTCTATAGATGAACTCCATTGTTAATCTGGATAAGGAATCCAAATTTATTTTTACCACCTGTATCTCCCTTTCACATTACTATAAGGTGACATTTCACTTTTTCTAATGATAAACGATAAGTGAATGAAAAAGGAAGGAACTTTTTAAAAATTAAGGAATTCATATGACTGATGGTTTTTCATCCGTAATCCGTAAATAAACAGCCCATCCCCGAAAGTGTTTTATTTACTGCAATCCACTCTTCCGAATAATGGTAACGCACAATTTCTGTCATTAAGAAGACCCCATCCTCATTTCTTTATAAGGGTGGCGGACTCCTCTAGGGGCAGGTAAAAATAAGCTGAACATCAGGTGTAAGCAAATGAAAGACCGAGTAAGAATAAGAGAAAAGTGAAACGCCAACATGAGCAGCTCATAAAAACTCAACAAGGCGAAATGTTTAGGTTTAAGTGGGCGTCCTTATGGGGGGAGGATAAAGATGAGGGCGTGGATGGGTGGTTAGGTGGGTTATTTTCTTGACTGGGTTGGCTATGGGGGGGAGGGGGGTTGGCTTACCGGAATGAAGCCGCCTGCATGCCATGGCATGCCCTGCCTGCATTTAGCTAATCCACAAGTTTAGCACAACAAAGGCAAAAGGCGAGGAAGGCACAACTCAAGGTCCTTGCGACGATGACTACGAGTGGAAATGGCCGAGGACGAGGTAGTGAGACTGGGACTGGGACTTCTAAAAGTGGATGCGGGACGACGACTACTTGACAGTCTTGGCTTGGCTTTGTTTCTGTGGCCCCAAGCCACCCAGTATCACCCTAGACCACCCTGATGCCCCCTATATCATCCCCTAGATCCTACAAAATGCTTGCTGCATCTTAAATTGTGTTTCTTGAATTTTGTATTTCTTTGGCCGTCTGGAAGCACAGAATTTCAGCTCTGACCTGCTCGCATATGTAAATTGATGGCTTTGTTTGTCTTTGGGGCTCAGCTTCAAATTCGTAAATCCGTTGAAAATCCTTTTTAACTTTTAATGATGGGGCCGCTGTGCCGAAAAGTGGGCCAATGTTTTCCCATGGGATTTGCGTAAAGTATCTGCTAAAAGCTTTCCCCATTCCCTTTGCCTGTCGCCGTTATTTGGCCAAAAAGGCAGCGCTAACCGCATCGACATCGACTTCGACATCCTTTTCCCTTCCATCCTTCCTTTTCACCCAGGAGTCAACATCAATTTCGTTTTCATCAATTTCGGTCTAAGGAAAATGGTGGAAATGGGCGGCTGCTCAAGCAGCCGATTCCAACATGGCCGAAAAACGAGGCCAAGAGAAGCGAGACAGATAGATAGAGAGAGGAAGAGCGAGAGAGAGGGAAAACTTTGGCAACTTGGTAATGTTCAAGTTAGTTTTCATTAATTTGTTGTTCTAGTTGGACCACTTACAAAAAGTTGGCTTAATCTTTTGACTCTCCAATGACTACAAATCTAGTTTAGATACGAAATTTCTAATCGGCCCTTCCCTAATTGAAAAACATCCTTAACATCTCTTTAAGTTAATCAAGTTTCTGGTAATATTTTATAATTTATAACAATACTTTTTTCGATTCCAGACCTTGATATTTTTTATCCTTTTGTCAAAGGTGTATTTTATCCCTCCAGTTTCGTAAAATTTATTGTTTTAGCTTTCATTTCCTAATGACAAAACGTATTGTTATTTTCTGGATTGATTATGAATTTTCTGAAAATGAATTAATTTGATTTCTTTATTTGTTACATTTGTTAATAATCTGAATAAATTAGGAAGCTACCTTATTTCTTCTTTGACTCTTCAGGTAAGATAACTTATTTTTTCATAATTGAAATGATTTTCCAAACGAAACCATTTTCGTTAACAACTTTTCTTCTGAACTTGCCCAATCCATTGCCTTTATCCTTTATTGTTGTTTTTACACCTTTTTGGCACTCAGGGAACATACATTTTTAATTGGCCTCGTTGCTGTGACGCCAGTTACAAATTCGAATTCGTAATTTGGTTTAGGTATATTTGGCTATACGCCCAAGACAAATGCTCGCAATTACCGGAGCATAAAGAAGGGGTACCCATACCAACGCACTCCTGTTTCCGGCCAAACAAGGACACTCACCCATACACACGCACTGAATCTAAAGCACGTGCGCAAATTATCTTCAAGGCGAGAGCCTGAATAAAATAACAGCTGCAAACAGACGCACAAACAAATGACGATGATGGCAACACTTCTCTCTAGGCACATCCATACCATACCATAGCTTACCATACCATACCATACCATCCCAGCATACGGGCTAAACTCATTAATTATCTAAGGGACCCTGGAGGGGGCTTCAGGATGCAGGACACCGTCGTGACCGGCCATGAATACGCCATTGTATTTGTAATCAACTTTGCCAATGAGCATCAAATATGCTTTATGTGCCTTTCGATTGTTCGTCCTTAATGATGGCTCGACTTAGCACAAATGATTTGCCATCAATAGGTTTGCTTATTTATGGCGTGTGGAGAGGACTGGTATACGGAAAAACTTTTGGGTAATCAAATAAATACATGTATACCGCAAAAACACTTATAACTTATGGATCTCTAATCTTTTTCTTAGCCAAATTAGGTTCAGAAATTCGATTGGGGTTGACTTAAATATGTTTTTATTATTTCTTTAGTAGTTCCTACATTTAATATAATCTTTAAAAGTTCTTAAACTGCTTGAATTAATTTGTGTATTTATCTAAATTGTATTTAATATTCCCGTCCATAAATTAAATTCTCTTTATTGTTTTCTCTATGAAATTAGTTTTAGGAATTGGATTTAGTTAGACCAAAGTATTTTCTACATATCATATTACTTTTAAGCTTTATATAAATGCTTAAAATATTCTATGTTATTTATTTAAAATTGAAAACATTTCTGGAAAAAAAGATAACGTATTCAGAACTCTATACCTTAGAAATTCCAGGATCAAAAGGTCATACAAGGAACCATATTATTTAACTAAATTTACATTTTCCATCCAAGAAACCAAAGATACCAACTTCAAATGTCTGGCTTTAAGGTTGTTTATGCCTGCCGCTTTTGTGGCAATATTATCAGCTACAAATCCTGCAAAGTGAATGAGACGCCCTATGATATTCTCTTGACCAGGACCTTTAACCTGATACAAAACGACAAGATCCGAGTGACGAATGGGGAGATGTTCCAGAATCTCCATTGCTCCCAGTGTCGCATGGAATTGGGTCTCCTCTGCCTGAAGAGTGAAAAGAATGCCCGACTGAAGGGACTTTCGCTGCTCGAGAAGGTTCATCTGGTGGTGTTCGACTCCTATGAGGTGCCATTCGAAATGCCTACAGAGCATGATGACTGATGGAGCGTGTAAAAATAAAGTTCCGCAGGAACAATTAACAATTTAAGTGACTTGGTTGCCATGTCTGCAGTTGACACGTGGTCCCTTAAACGTCTTTGATGGGCACATATGTCTGTGTATTATATATATTTGACTTTCACACGGGCTTGTCACTTGGGAATGTTTTGGCAAGCGTTAAAATTATTTGCTCGACTTGCGACAGTCGGAGCATTAATCAAAATCAATCCAAGCATTCCTTGGCCCAAAATCGTGCCCAGACGTCCTTGTACCTCACACAGTTTCAAACAAAAGTCTGTGCCAGGCACGTAGAAAAAATCCAAAATAATTTGCACTCGGTGATGTGACAGTTGGGCGCCAGTTTGCAAAGGCACATCCTTCCCCTCAACGGAAATTAAAACGCTCCTCCTTTCAGCTGTCTTACATACCTCTCGGTGGCTCAAAAAGGCAAAAAAGCAAAAAGGCAAAGAGGCAAAGGCATTTTAATGATTTTAATTAACTGCATGTTTGCCTGTAATTACAACGGCAACAATGCAATTACGGCACATGTACGGCACTGGGTGGCCATAAACAACGGGTCCGGGTGAGAGGGCAAGGCCATCTGGCCGCCTGTCTTTTGTCATCCCACTGGAGGCCCCCCGTTCCCGTTCCCATACCCATATACCCATTCCAAATACCCCCGGTGCCCAGGAGTTCCTTCTCTTGCTCCTCCAACTGGGTGACACACCTCGGATGACAGAATAATTACATGCAGAGCCACCAGGACCCCTCTTTCATTTGCTTTCTGCCTCCCAGCTGGAGGCTATTCCTAGAGAGCGTTGGCAGAGTAGTGCATCATGGGCCATGGGAGGCGTTCAAGAGGGGTTCCTTGTCAAAATAATCAGAAAAACTTCCCTGAATTTTTAATTTCCCAAGGTGTAAGTCGGATATGAATCGTTTCAGTTGAAGAACCGAAGGTGCCTAAAAGTAGGCTATGATATTTTCTATAAAAGATACCTTTGAGATATTGCTTAACCCTTTAAATATGTGATTTCATCAATTTTTTATTAAAAAATGTACCTAATTTACCATACGTTACTTTCATATGCACAAGTATTGAAAATAAACAAATGGAATAGCAAAAGTAAATATTTGCATATTGAATACAAGGATTATTATTTATAGTAAATACAAACTTAGTGTCAAATACCAAACGTTTGCATTTCCTGCTGTAATACAAAAATAATTAAGTCAAAAACATATTAACTTTATAGTTCCATATTTATAATGAATAAAGGCAACAATAGAGGAAAATCATTACAGAACATATTTCAATTCAATATGAAATCTTATGATTTATTAGGTTGTTTTATTAGTATGTTAAATATTCAATTTGATAAGCTAGAAATAATGAACAGTAATAAATGAAGGGAGCACCCTCCCAATCTAAAAGTATCTTTTTGTTATTTTCGACGTTCATTAAAAAATATAAACATAGATTGACCTCCCTTAACCCCTCTGGACAACGTCCTTGGCCTTGACACTTATTACTAATACGACATGTGGTACAAGCCCGATGCAAGGTACAAGTGTAATTATGGCCAGCAAATGTCCTGTCGCTGTCCCCGAGTGTCACGGATGCCGGGCAATACTTGTTGCTTTCTGTCAGCGAAAGCGGAAAGGGGGGGCGGAAGGGCGCCAAGTGGGTGGGCCCGGCTCTATTGTGTGCTCAGTGACCGTAAATATCAAGTAATTTTCTGCAATTTTTCTACGCTGCCAATTGATTTATGGCTTGCTGCCGCCATGGCCTCCCATTGCCATTCCGCCCTTCCTGCCGCCCACTTTGCTTTGTTTGCAAAACAAAAGGCAAGCCAAGTGAGCGTTGTCCTTCCACAATAACAACGAAAACATCGCCAGGAGCAGGATCAGGAGCAAGAGGGTAAGAAGCAGCAGCAGTGGCAGCCTGGCAAGGGACTTGTATGCTTGTTAAACCTGTGGCTGTCAAGTGGTCGTCATAATATAAGACGAATAAAACCAAAAATATAAGGTAACTCATTCTGTGCGATCCTAAATATACAAACAAGATTAATAATGAACAATTTTATACGTTTAATTATTAAAAAATATATGATATATGATATCATTTTGAGGAATACTTTTATATAATTTACATGTAGTTATATAGAAAAAAATGTTAACCAAAACTAAGAATTCATAAAAATACTAAATCTTATATCTTACATACACAGGGAGAAATATCCAAAAACATTGTTCTTGAACTGAGAACATTCGTTCTTAAAAACCCTGTAAGTTCATATTGGTATCAATATTTTCAATATTACAACGAAATAGTGAGAGGAGAAAAGTTATATTGGGTTTATTTAACAACTTTTTGGACTAATAGTTTATCAATATTCTCAATATTACAACGAAAAAGTGAGAGGAGAAAAGTTAAATTGGGTTTATTTAGCAACTTTTTGATAAATATACACTATTGAATATTATTTGTTGAGATAAACTATGCAAATACCGCCAATTCAACTTGATTCGAGTAAAATAAAAACATTTTAAAATGTCGTTCTATTTTTAAGAACATTTTCAACTCAGATAAGAACGTTAGTATTTTCTCTGTGTATAAATCATATATGATCTTAAATTAATAGCAATTTGTATCTTTAAACGGGGAAACATTTTTAGTACCTTTAACATATAAAAGATCTCAAATAAACTTTTGTGACGAAAAATTATTGAACACTTGACTGAACAAATACATTGGTATTGGTTGACCATATAACAAATATGGTATGCCTAACAACCTATTAGATATCAATAACAAGATTTATACATCTTTTTCCTCTGTGTATTCAGAAATGTGGCGCCTGTCGTGGTTGCCTGAAAGGGTATTAGGGTTTGTCAACTAACACCCCCCAAACCTTTTTCACCCCCGTCACCCCGCTGCACTCCATATCGACTCGGCATGGGGCGTGGCCATTTGTGACGTTTAACAAGAAAATTCGTTTAGTGAATTTCATTTAAATTTCTGTGTCAAAAGGCAAAAAGGGCGAAAATGTAGCGGCATAAGAGTAGAGAATAAACAAGAAAAATAATTTGCCTGCGTAAGCGGTATTTTTTATGCACTGGTCCGGCACTCGATAACACGATAGCCTTCGGGTGCCCCATAAAGTTGGCTGGCTTAATAAGGCGTTGCGTTACTCATACGCCACGTGGTGCACAGCAAGGATTCAGTAATGTGAGCCCAATGTGGAGCCAGTGGGCGTAAACTATTTATGCATGTACATACTTTGCTTCAACACGGCTTTTCCCCTCTCCCTTCCCTTTTTCCCCTGCACTTGCCGCATGCAAATGGAGTAATTTGATTTTTTCCCGGACCTTGGCTGCAGGAATTCACTCCCGGGAATGGTTGGAACTCAGGGGCGGAGGTGGGGGCAGGGGTAGTGGGACCCCTAATGGGTTGCCGAGTGCAGGACAAGTTTTACTAATCAATCGATACGTTCAACGCCAAAGTGGCTTAAATAGGGAAAAGAGATCTAGCAATAGTTGGTGGTTCTAGGCCACAAAGTAAAATGAAAAACTTGGTGTATACAAAGTCATTAACTAAATGTGTTTTTTTCTATTAAGGTATAGGACTCTCATCTAATTAGCTAACTTAATTTTATTTAATTTATTTTAAATTATAGTTTTCTATATAAATCAAAAATGAAGTAAATAAGTTATTGTTATTTCTATTTATATCTTTAAATTCTAATCTATATGATTATTTTAAGTTTCTCTCTATACTTATAATTTAAAAAACCACTTTTGACTTTCATATATGAAAATAATTAGTACAAGTATTCCCCCTAATATCCCTAAATTACCTTTTCTAAGTGCTTGCATGCTCACTTATCCAAACCTCATCTATTCTTAAAGCCCCAATTAATTTTTGTGTATGCAGCCATGCAAATGAGCTGGTTTCCCCGGGTCGCCTGGCAACCCTGTGCAGCTCGTCGGCTTTTGGCCTCTGTTTCCCCTTTGGCAGCGGATCATGTAACATGTTTATGGCCATCTAGTCAACTGCAGCCATATTTTCATCTCATTTCAGCCATGCCCCATGGCTGTGTCCCTTTCTGGTTGGCTCGTAATTTCAAACCGTTGCACTGACCGCAGGGAAAAGTGGGTGTCCCGGGGGGGTCAAAGGGGCATATGCGAATCGACCGCAGGAAAACGCGTTATGTTGACCTTTCGCCTGGCTCTAGGCTCACTATCCACGAAGGACATTAAAATGCAAGCGGTGCCAGGGATGCAAAAAAAAAACGGACTAGAGATGGTGCATTTGGCTAACTTAATGTGCAGATTTTTCCCTTAGCTCTCTGGCTTTTTATTTATGAGCCCCCAGGGCAGGCACACACATGCAGCTCCACCTAGAAGATTTACGACTACGGGTTTTATTAAGCATAAATTAGAAAATTTCTCCTTTTACACACCTCTTCCTTTCGCTTTTTGCCAGCAATTTCCTTTTCAGGCAAAAATTAAACCGAATTTAGACACTTTGAAGTCACTCAACTTAATCGCATTTACGGCAATCAAAAGTAAACACATCAACCAAAATCTTGTCGACTGATGGCAGTACTTATAAGAAAAATATTCATTGCCATAAGCTAAATTGGAATACCTTAATTTGGGTTTTCTTTCGGCTGATCAATGTAAATGTCCTGAAATGAGTGGTATTTCCATGCTTCAATACGAACATTAGAACCTGAAAAAGGTCCTTACCCATAATGTATGCAAATCCAATTTAGTGCTCCATAAGCTTTATTAGATGACAAAAGTTGACACGTGCCCGCAATGCCTTTGATGGATAGACATGTATGTAGGTACCCAAATTGATTGACAAACTCGGTGAATAACTGGCCGTGCGATTAATGTAACCACTGTAATTTCATTTAGTGGGCGAGTCCAGAAAATCACCCACTTGTATCCTGGCCAGAATGAAGTCCATTCGGCCACAGAAGTCAATCGATTGTTAGTTGCGTTATGGGCTTTCAGTAACTTACACCCTTCCTGAAATCCATTTGTACACAAAATTGTGACCGCAACAAGTTTCAGCTGTTATGACATGTGGCAAAATGTAATTGAAGGACGTTGGGTTAAGAAATTAAGGCATATAATGATGGGAAAGATGGCACTTGGCTTGGGAATACGAAATGAATTTATTGTTAATTGCTTTCTTTAAAAATTACTTTATTATTGATTGCAGTAGGGGGAATGGATTGGTTAGACACTACAGTTCTTTTCACTTACTTTTCAATTACTTTTGGAATTTTAAAAAAGGTAATTTAAATTATTAAGCAATTACATACATATGTTCAAGGGAGTGTACATTTTAAACGACAAAAAAACTTTTGTATCAGGTTTTTGATTTATTTATTAAAATGAAACCTTTTTCTCTCCACTTTTAAGTTCCATCCAGGGAAAAACATTTTTTATTTACAAACTGCTTTGGGATTACGTTACTCGCAATCAATTTAAATTTTGATATCGAAACATAAAAAACTGGAATTTCAATTGAAACTCTTTCATATCCCATAAAGAATCCA